TGGTTTAATGTTTTTGTTGTTGTTTTATGACACTTGTTTGCACTGATGTTCAGCGGGTTTTATTTTTTGTATTTGTTTTCATTATTACTTGATAACAAATATCTTTCTTGTCGTTTCTTTTATTTGGATTTCCTCTTTCTCCTTGAGATTATAACTTAGCAAAGAGATATACTAGAAGGTACAAACAACTACATGAAACAAAAGAAAAAAGCAGCAGCTGAAAAATTCTGCATAACCGTGACCAACAACCATATAATAATCTTATATTCTTCGTTCAGCCTTTCTTATGCTTTCTTTACTTGAATTAATTTGGAGAGTAATGGAAGGAACTTGAAAAGATACGAAAGGTAATTATTTTTGTTATTTATTTAGGTGGACTTGGAGAGGTAAGTTACAGTTAATTTTGTGAAAATAAGTGTAGGATTTGATTGATAACAGAGATTAAAACAATTTACTTCCAAATTCATTCTCGGGTCCACTCAAATAAATAACAAAAAAAATTATTTTCAAATCCTCTCAAATTCTTTCGGTTAGTCTCTCTTAAATCCATTTAAGTGAACAAATTCTTAAACTTCGTTATTCAATCTCTCAATAGCTAAGGCTTAAAGCCTTGGATGCTAATTTAGCCCAGGTTTGCATGAACCCAGATACCTGTCAGTCTCCCTCTGTTGGCTACACCAAGCACTAATTATCAAGCTGCATCCAGAGGCATTGTTTTGATGATCATATGAGGTTGGTGCCAATAACAGCTGGTTCAGCAGATATCTATTTACACCAATATCCAGCTTAAACATAAGTAATAAGATTCCTGATACAGCAGCTGGCTTGAGCACCTGCAAAGATGTCTAAATCACATCACACTTTGAAAGTCCAGCCTCCATAGCAGTGTTTTTCTTGCATACACCAATGACTGTTTCACTCCATATGTACTGCCCCTAGATTTCACAAGGTAAAACTATAAAATTTTACTGCATCCCTCCACCTTGCCACACGACAAACGCTCCTCCAGCAAAACTGGTGTAGCAGTACCAATGCTTCAGAGTACAGTAACCACAAACCAACACTAACATTATAAGCACCTCTGCCTACTCTGTTCTCCCCCTTTAATTGTCAAACTTACCTCAACCTCAGAGTCTCAATCAAATTCCAAAATGGGGTCGCAAAACCAGAAAACACTATTGCTCAGTAGGTAGGCTATTCTATAGCAATTAGGATTCAATACTATAATCCCTCCTCGAACAACTCCGCCATCACATACTTAAGAGCTAATATAGAAAAGAAACCCTAATTTAAAGCAGAAAATGAGAAAAAATGATTTATTAATTTAAAATAAAAATACTTTTCTTTTCAACTAGCTTCTACAGTTTTTTTTCTTTTACTTTTTTTCTCTTATCAATTCAAACCAACTATTGACCCTTTGTAATTGTTTTTAGTGTTATTAATTGTATCTTCGGTAATATAATTTATTTTATTATTTTACATTTAAAACTTAAATTTTATAATCATTTTTCAATTTTAATTTACAATAAAAAGTTGTCTATGATAAAATTTATTAAAAATAATTATTTTATAAATTTAACATCTTTTTATTTTAATAATTATTTTTTTTATCATTAAAATAATATACTTATATATGTTTTCTTTTATATAGGGTTTGTAACATACATAAGCTCTTTTTTTCAATGGGTACATTTTAGCAAAGTGTATCGAATTTTAGTAGACAAAAATATTCTTATATATTATGAATTCTATGTTTTAAGGTCAAGGGTATTTGAATAATTTTCATTTTCAAAATTAAAAAAAAATAAGAAATTTCAAACCCTTATTCATCCATCTCTCATCCTTCATTCATCTTAATCATTTCTCTTTCATCTCTCTCACTCTAACCTTCTTTTTGTCATCTCTATAGTAGGCCCAACTGAAAAAATCAGAAAAACCCACATAAACCTAATCCACCTTCCTCAGTTATCCAATTTGTTTCTCTCTTATCTTCATTCTCTCTCTCACCCACATACAGTAACCCATGACACTGCAATTTGTTGCTCTTGTTCTATTCGTTCATTTTTTCATTCTAATATCAAAATAATTGATGATGTTGATGTTGATTTTTGATTGGAGGGTTGTGTTATAATTTTCCCCTTCTGATTATTATTAAATTTGGTGTTTAAATTTTAGAATTAATAGTTTATTTTCAGGGAGATTTAATATTTTGACGGTTAAGTTGTCCGGAAATATTTTCCAGAAGAGAAAAAACCCTTATGTGAAAAGGGGATTCCGAAAGGAGTAAGTCATTATCCAGAAAATGGATAGCTGAAGTCAGCTCTTAAAAATAATTCTAAAAACATATTTTTTGCTAAAAACAATATTTCAGAATATAGTTTTCACCTTCGTGCATATAACTAACGTCAAAACACAACAAAAAAAATGATTTAACAGGAACAAATTATTGAGGAGAGTTAATAGAGAAAATTGTTGTTGTTGACTATGTTCTCTTATTCAGAAAAGAGACCATTACTCTTTCCCTTTCGAATGCTTCATATTTATTCTAACAAATTACACATCTTCTAGATTTGAGCATATTGCAGAATATTTGATATACCAACTAATTAAAAATCAACCAGAAATTAGTAAACTAGTCATAATGAACCTATTAGCTCTTAGTTGGACCAGAAAATTACTTTTGTTAAACAATTCACATCTCCAACTTGTTTGGTCAATATAAATATGATGTTGTAATTCTGATTTATCATTTGCCGCATAAGTGAAATTAAGAAAAACAAAACGCACTGAATTTCAAATTGGAATTTAAACTTAATAAGTTTGTTACCATCACGCTCATAATTTAACTTCTACTACATTCATTTCTATGATTTTATCAAAATTGGTATTAAGAAACTAAATGTTTTGCAACTATTCTGGGTTGATGTTGTCGTCCAATCAGAAATCAACATAAACATCATCAATTATTTTATTATTAAAGTGTAAAACAAATGAACGAATAGAGCAAAAGCAACAAATTACGATGTGGCAGGTTGTTGTGTGTGGGTGAGAGAAAGAGGATGGAGATGAGATATAAACAAATTGGATAAGTGAAGAAGGTAGAATAGGGTTAGGTGGGTGTTTCTGATTTTTTCAGTTGAAGCTACTGTAGGGATGACAGAGAGAAGGTTGGAGTAAGAGATATGAAAGAGAAAGGGTTCATAGGAATGAGGGATAAGAGAGACGTGAGTAATGGTTTGGAGATTTCTTATTTTTTTAGTTTTACGAATGAAAATTATTCAAATACCTTGACCTTAAAACTTAGAATCATAATATATGAAGATATTTTTATCTACTAAAATCATTTACACTTTGTTAAAATGTTCTAACTGAATTTTTTTTTTACATATATTAACAAACCTATATATATATATATATATATTATTTATATCTCACGACATCGTCAAATAAAATACATTTATTGAACAATTAAAAATAATAATATTTTAATTATGTTTATTTAAATTTAAAATTTTAATATATATAATTGTAAAAGGTTATAAAGTATTAAATTACTTCAATAATACTATTTTTAAAGAATTAAATTACTATGATTTTTAATTATAAAATAAATGTATTTTATTTGATAGATGTTAATCAACTTTCTTTTTCCATATAAAAAGAAAGCCCTAGGTAGCATATTTATGCGGCAAAAGATTTTCAATCCAACTCAAATCCTCTCTATTCTGTATTTTTCTTTTCTTTTCTTCCTCAGATCCTTACTTCATTATAACTATCCTTTACAAAGAATTAAAATGAAGATTTACTATTTTTTTCTTTATTTTATATATATATATATATATTATAAAAAGTGAAACCAACTTACTTCAAAAATTTATAAATTGAAAAAAAAAATCAAATTACATGTTTAATTTTTTGTGAGATGATGCAGTTTGTTTCGTATGACAGTTTGATGTTTCTTATATGATTTAGTTAATTTCAAATTGTGTAATTAATTTCAACTGTAACACACTTTTTTTTTACTTATTCAGGTAAAATTTTAATCCAAATTCAAACTCCACCAATTATCTTGTATATATATATATATATATATATATATATATATAACTTATTTCAAAAATAACTTTTGAAAATGGCTTCTCACTTAAATGTTTATTTTTCTTCTAATATAATGATTTAAAAAGTAATCCACATTCAAGAATTAATATATGTTTATGCTGAGAATCACTTAAAAATTAGACACGTACACTTTAAAATATTAATCATATTATTATTTTGTGTTTGTTTTATGATTATTTTTTTCTTTTTCCTAGTATAGGTCAACCCGTTTTTTATTCTCTCTCTGACTAGGTGAATTTTTTACATAGATATACCAAACAATTTTATTGGATATTATTATATTCATTTCTATAAATATTTATTAAAATCCAAAACCGCCAAATTAGCCTTTTTACTTCATTGCCAATAAAGGCCGAAACAGGGTCCAAAGTCCTTTTAGCTTGCTTAGCTGTAATATGTTAACGACAACCTTAAATCTATATATTCAAACACGAAACTAATTATATTTACGACTTAAAGTAAGTTTCAAGTGGCTAATAAATCATCGGTTCTTTTTTTTAATACTCAATAAGGTTTTTCATTAAATTGAGTAGTTATTAAGTTAATTATGTTTGTTTTTAAGTTCTTAAATTTAAATAGATATATAATTAAATTTCTAAAACATTTTTAAAATTTCCTCTTGGCATTCTCAATATTTATATTAGATAATTAAAATAAAAAATAATTATATATTAAGCACCAAAAACTCATTTAATTTTTTTTTTGTCATAAGAACTAGTTTGTTTTGTATTATATGATGACACATAATATGAATTCGGGTAATAAAGATATTTAATACTAATTATTTGTTCAACCCTCGAAATCGTGACAGATGGAAGATAACTTAAATCAACATAGTTAATTTATTAGGTAATTTATTTAGCACAAAAATTGATTAGAAATTGAAAATAAAAATTATGTATTATAAACCTAAAAGTTATTTAAGTTTATGTATGAAATGATGAACATATATATTCTACTATACTTGGTTGCACTAGCTTTGTTTGCAACTTTACAAAGTAATCAAATTTCACCTTCACTGGGACATGCTTGAGCTAATTTTTTAAGGTCTTCAATGATCATAACTAGTTTTGTGTTAAATCGATTGACAAAGCACTTCGGTAGCCACCCTGCAGGATCCAACTGAAAACAAAACAAAACAAAGAAAACATGTTACAACGAGGAATGAATAATGCAGACAACATTTTTATTCTATGATTGTTAGTTACCTGAACAACATAAGTGACCACACATGAATCATCTTCAAGCTTCTCTACCACCCAACCTGACTGAAGCAACAATCCTCTGATCGCATTACTTTGCTTCGGATGCAATCCTGCAGCTATTTCCTTTGGCAGTGAAGCAACCGCTACCACCTATAACACCCCGTTAACATTTTCTTCAATGGTTTCAAAGACAAAAGCTACATTTGTGCTCAGCAACGTTGTAAAAGTTTTGATGGTTGGAATTTTAGTACTAACCAAGGTGCCATCTTCCATGGTTTCACGGCGTTCATAGACAATGAACTCCCTGTTCCGGAAGAGAGGCTTCGAGTTATCTCCAAACCTGAGACGAATTATGCTGAGGTTGTCTTCAAGATCTTTTATGTACCTGGCTTCCACCAGATCAGAGTCCCATTGCTGGCTTAATAAAATAATCAAAAACCAAGATCAGAATGTAACCAGGAAATAACTATTCTTCCTTAATCAAATTGAACCCCCACGACAAGGAACAAGCTATGTTCACATGTACAAAGAGGAGGAATAAAGAAGAAAGTAAAAGACAAGGAATCGTGCATTTTTTTGTCATTCCTATGGATGTCAGCCACAGACTAAAAAATAAAGATAGGATGAAGGACAGTGCTAGAGACAAAAGTTTTCTTTTCAACATGCTGGATGGGAATCTAATCCTCTTTAACTCTCCTGTTTAAGGTATACCTTTTTTTCTGTTTTCATTTTTCCTCAAAAAATGTCACTTTATTTTCTGTCATTTTATGAGAAACTTGACATTCACCTTTGCAGCATCAATGGCATTGGCCACTGTGATGAACTGTTGGGGAGAGACAGATCTAAGAATCCAACGGCTGCGAAACGTGTGGAGTGAGCCTGACCTGCGTTTTGATATCTCCACTCCGTTGTCAAGAGTTAGAATCTTCCATCCGTCACTGTCCTTTCCTCTGTTTGTGTCTGAAGCTGCCAACAACTCTTGTATACAGCTTTCACTTGCAAACTGCACATACCTTCTTAGGGAGTCCTCGCTAATAGACCTTTAACAAAATCATGGTGGCAGAGAATCTTAATTTCATCAACACAGATAAGTCATAACAAGATTGAATGAACAAAAGGGTCACTGCATTATGTTTCAAACACGAACAAATATAAGGTTTAGTTTGGTATTCACCAGGATCGGCTGCAAGGTGCAGGGCTGCTGCTCATCGTGGCTGGAATGATGGTATCGATTGCCAACAGAAGTTGAATTCTTTACCACAGCAAAACACTTGGTAAACTGAAAGGCGCGTGCATTATATATATTTATACATGTGTTATATGTAAAAGGGAGAGGGTTTTGTTGTGTTGTGTGGTGTGATGTGATGATATGAGTGGTTTAAAGAGAGGTTGAGAACGCAAAATAATATGAAGTGGGCAGAGGTGATTGCTGCACATGCAGTGCCAGAAGAACCTTACATGATTAGAGCAATAACCCTCTCTCTAGATAAAAGATAGATTCTTTTCTTCCAAAAAAGCAGCAAGAACAAGGGTAGAAAATATGATGCACATGGAGTGTTGGTGGCTTTTGTGAGGGGAGAAAAACATTCCAAAATAAAAATACAAGAAATTCATCCGCATATAAAGAGTTATATAAATGTATTTCATATAGCACATCAAATAATAACAAGATTCAAATACCATGCACGGTTTAACTAGGGAATTTGCAGCAAGAAAGACACAGTGACACTTGATCGTTTGAACCGTATATTGTATGGTGTTAAAAAAAAAACTTTCTGTGTCAATTCTGGAAACCGATATAAATATAATCAAAGTTTTCACCTTTTATACCGGTTCAAAGAACTACGGTGTATTTGATTGTTGCTTATTCTGTGTATCTGAATGGAGAATCCCTACCACTTTGGAATGTGAGGCCCCAGTCACGTGTGTGATGATAGTTGATAGAGCTGGATTGCATTTCAAACAGCAAGGCAAGCAGAAGCGGTCCCAGTGAAGTCTTTGGCACGGTATTTGGGATTGTCCTAAGCGTAACGTTAGGTGCAGTAGCAACAACTAACTTCCCATCCTATTTCACCAAAAACTTTTTCCTGCAACATAGTATCATGTCATTAATTTGTAAAATGATGTAATGTGATTGATTGAATAGAACTATTATTGGAATCTACAGCGTATAATTTGAGTGTCAAATGAATAATCGTGTCAAATAATTATTCTTTTATATTATATACTGAGCCACGTATGTTTCTGATATGTGATCAGACTTGTGTTGAATTCCACATGCTCTAGTTTGTGGAGCAGTTAAAGACTGAAGTGGGCGCCGAGTAGTGCTCCTTTTTCAGACATTCAACAAAGTGACAACAACGTTACGCTGTTTTAAAATAGACACCAAAGGTATAATGAAAGCAAGAAAATTATCCATTCAGATACGCCTTCTACGATTTCATTACATTCATTATTACATCCACCTTATCAAATATAAATAAACATACGAGTGGTTATGTTTATTCCAATTCATTTTAATGTAAGCTTTGTTAGAAGTAGCATACCAGGAAAGTTTAGTATAACAAAAGAACAGGAACAGTTTTAAAAAGGAACAGAATTTTATGTAACATGTGCCAACTGTGAATTGAAAATAGAAAATGGTATAGGGTAGCATGAAGACGGTCCAACTTGCATCATGCTTGATTAGATAAACTGTGATTTTGTATTGATCTGTGAATCCAGGTTGTCCTGTTTCCAACATGAGGCATATTGACAACTGATCCTGCCTTAAAATGCCTAGTAAAATTACAAAAACCATTTATTAGAAAGCAGATCATCCAAGTGCTTTTCTCCAATCCAATCATTGCACATACATCAACAAAAGAAAATAGAACAGGCCGGGATAGGGGGAAAGAATTTTGAATATGATGTTTAATTATTATTCCTACCAGGAACGGGATGTGTATAAGGATCATGACTTTCATCAAGTCAAGATCGTCCACTTAAAGACAATACACCGAATAATACTTAAAAGGAGATCCACTTTTGCTTTTCATGCTTCAAACTTGCACAGTCTTCAATGTTTTATTTTTTGGTTCAGCAATTCTCAATGTTCGTCTTCAAAGTAACTCTTTTTATGCCACTGATTTTTTTTATCTATCTTTTCAAAAACAGTCTTGTGAGAGAGCTGAAAGAGCCTTGCTTGAGAAGGGAAACAGCGCCATGGTCAATTGTAATGCAATCACTGTCTTTGAATTCTGCCTGCACAACTACATTATTTATGTGACATAGTAGTTCGCACATAACATAAGTCCAGTGGGAACCTAGAACATGACTTTGGAACCTTGTAAGTTGTTTGCTACTACCCACACATGGTTGTGTTGGATGTAGATGCAGAGACCAATAATGTAAATGAAGCCCCAGGAACCAAAAGGTGGGACTCGGAATTATTAGACATGTTTGGACAGCCCTACAACCAGTACGATAATGGGGGCCGAAAACCACCACTATGCTAATCTTCAAAAATCAAACCAAACTAATTCTTATCCAGATGCGGCCTGTGGGGAAGCCCAATATGTAACCAATACAATATTTATCTATCTATGTTCATTTCTTTACTCATTACTCCACTGCCTTTACTGTTAAAAGCTATCGGCTCAAAAAATATCTTGTCATTACCAATAAATTATACATTTAATTAAAAATACTGCCTTTGGACAGGCGTGATAAGGTGCTAATACCTTCCTTACGCGTAACCGATTCTTGAACCTGAAAATTTTTTTCGTAGACCATGTCTTATTTTATGATTTTCTATAGTTTTTTCATAATAAATTATGGTGGCGACTCTCAAAACCTTTTTCTCAAACCCGTTTGTTTTTCGACTCGCCGTCCCGTCGCGATCCCGGTTGTGACACTTATAGCAATGGTTACCGAGCATACAACGATTTAATGGAGATAGAAGTGCTTCGGTGATATTTCTTCTTCTTCAGTGAAAGATATTGTATACTTCTCTTGTTTGAGCTAGATTGCAAAATTCATGATAATATATAACATGCATGTCCCTAAACACTTATGTTATAACCAAATATCCTCGTCTTTTCTTAATCTTTTTGTCACTAACACTTAACTAAGTTTCTTTGAATCTTTTTATATCAAATCCAAATAATACAATCTTCTTTGTCTGATACTACAATTGTTATTGTTGTCTTCCTCGTTTGAATGTCCTTAAAAATACAATAATCATATCCAAAATTTGCAACACATAAGAAAAGTTCAGCTATTTTAGTAACTAACAATATATTATATTTTAGATAACGAATAACTGAGACAATATCAAAATTCAAATTGTTTGAAATAAAGATATTTTTTTCCAATTAATTATATTGGATTTACTGTATGCTGTGAAAATATTTCTTTGTGAGAAATGTTTAAGATTTTTAATTTGTCTAGCATCAAAAGTCATATCAGAACAGAACATGCAGAGTCAATTCTCCTTGCATTATTCAAAATAATGGATGTGTTTATTGAGACATTGTTATTGGAATTGTCACTAGCTGGAGTTGTAGTAAACATCATATTTGTGTCATCCTCTTTCTCATTAGTAGTTACCATAGTTGTTGAATTTCCTTTTTTAAGTTCTATTTTTATGTCCGATTGACCTTACCACAGGAGGTATGATATGATTTCACAACATCGTTTCTAACCCATCCTTATTGCATAAGTACATTGTATTTACTATTTTAAGAACCTTTTGATTATTTTGCTTTCTTCTTTGTGTAGTGAAATTAGAAATCATATCTTTTTGTTGGAGTCTCTCTCTAGATTAAAGCATAATTTTTTTTTAAAATCAGACGTCACTTTTTTTTTTCAAGATTTCTCCACAAACTTGCCTGAAATTATTATTCGGTCCAACTATAAATATATTCATATTTATTCTTTCAATTGACTTCTTATATGACTTTACATTAGAAGGATGTTTCATGACTATTTTGTTACCCAATTCCTTAAAAGTCTCAACCAACTCACCATAATATTCAATTAAGGTTTTATTATTTTGTTTTGGGATGAATGTCATTTGATTCAAAAACAAACACTTGTAACTCATCCCTTCCATCATATAATGCTTTAGACAAATCATTTCAAGTATAAAGGGTTTTGGGCAAGTGAAGATACTTTTGTGATTTTTGGTTTCATGGACATCAACCACCATCTTTTCACTTTTTGAGTTTTAGCATACCATTTTTCATATTCCTCAATTTTTTTTCCATTGCAGGCTTCACCTTTTTATGAATGTAGAAAAAAAAAAGATTCCTCTTTATGCTGCTTATATATTTTCATATTGAATTACCATTGAAATTAATTTATCTATCATATCCCAGGATCTTTAAGAATTCATAAAAAAAATAATTCTAAACTCTTGATATCAAATTGAAAAAGAAAATTTATTTTATAATTTTTCATTTCATTATTTTTGTATAAAGATACTATGTTCTTTTAACATTGTACTCTTAGTAATCAAAACTAAATATGATGTGCATCTAATCATGTATATAATTGGATTAGTTTAGAGTTATGCCCAACTTAAAGACACCTTTAGATTAAACTACCATTGAATTTGGTTTCTTTATTATCTCTACAATAATTTTAAAAAGATAAAAATCATAAGCTTTCCTATCAAATTGAAAAATAGAATTTATTTTATAATTTTTTTATACAAATAAATTTTTTATCATACAATATTTTGTATTGTTACAACCTAGATAATAAAATATTTTTATTTCAAACGTACTTTGAATAAAATTACATTGTGTATGTATTCATTCTCGTATTTAAATTTAATTATTTTTTAATTATAAAACAATTTACAAAACAACAAAAAATATTTACAATAAAATTATAAAAAATTATTTATATTTAATTTTATAATTATAACAATATCTATAATAAAAGAAATATAAACTAAATCTAAAATATAAATAAAAAGTAAATATAAAATAAAAATAATATATTTAACTTTTTATAAATTGTTTTTGTAAGTTTAGTTAAGAATGTAAATTGAATCTCAAATAAATTTTGAAAAAAATAAAGTGGAATACAAAAGGCAAAACAAAGAGACACGTAATATTATTTATTTATTTTATTTAATTAATAAGTTGGTATTTGGAGTTGGTGGCTGAGGATGAGAACTGGAGGAAGGGATGAAGGGTGAGAAGAGAGGAAAAAAGCAGGAATATTGAAAAATGTGAAAGTGAATTAGCAGAACAATATTATGAAACTGAAAGCTGTTCCTTCATCCCTTAATTCCTTTGTAGTTGGTGGAGATTGTAATCACAATGCTACTGCTGCTTCTTCATCTTCATCATCTTGTCAGAGACAAAGCATAGTGATAGTTGCCAACAAAAACAGGAAGCAGCATGAGATTCAGGGTTCAGAATCATCTCCTCCAAGAATCACATCCAACGTCAAGCAAAACCTCCGCTTCCTCAAGCTATGGAAGGTAATTTAACTTCACTCAATTTCCCCAACCCTACCTTCATATGCATACTCATTTCTACTCTTATGTCATTCAATAGAGCTTCCAAAATAGAAATTCTGCCACTCCCAGACCTTCAACCAGTTACCGCAAGAAGAAGGTGGAGAAGGATGAGGATGTTGTAGACACCGACCTCTATCGTGACCCCACCTCCTCTCTCTACTAGTAACTCCACAACACAATCATTCTTTCATCTTTCTTTCCTTCAATTAACTTTAAATATAACATCATATGTCTTCCGAGCAGTACCAATCAGGTGGGTATAGACAATGCTGTCCCTGTATTGCTTGTGGATGGTTATAATGTTTGTGGCTATTGGATGAAACTCAAGAAGCATTTCATGAAAGGAAGACTTGATATTGCTCGTCAAAAGCTAATTGACGAGCTTGTAACTTTCAGCATGCTTAGAGGTTCCTCCCTCTACCTCTTGTTTGTCTATCAATCCCCACACTCGAACTCTTTTTTTGTCTATAAATTTATACGTCTTTTGGTTTGTGCAGAGGTCAAAGTGGTTGTTGTTTTTGATGCAATGATGTCTGGACTCCCCAGCCACAAAGAAGATTTCGCAGGGTATGCTTTTCTCTATTTATTTATTTTTGTCATACGATATAGTTGTAGTGAACCACCATTTCTTTAACAAATCGATTTACATTTTATATTCCTCCATGTTCTGATGTTGTATTTTGGCCATTTTGCAGTCTTGATATTATTTTCTCAGGAGAAACATGCGCTGATACATGGATTGAAAAAGAGGTTAGATATTACTACAGGTTGCTTTACTGTAGTTCCCAACTTCCTTCTTTTGTAACAGGATTTAAGAAACTGAACTTTATTATCTGTTTGGCATACTACTAATGTGTTTGAGTAAATAACTTAAATATTCTGGATTGGTTTGAATAAACTTCTTCATAATCACTTGTATCCCATAAGAGAACAAAATAAGAGAACAAAATAAGAAACAAAATCCATCTAGTCTGATGAGAAAACTTTTATAAAAGTTGAAGTTTATCTGTTGATTTGAACTTACCGGACAGAAGTTCAATTCATTTAATCTCTTATTCTTTTTCTATAAGTATTTATTGGGGAATTGGCCTTCTTCCATAAACTTTTATAAAATGAGATTTTATTAAAGAGCTGTACTGTAAAGCTTACTGGAATAAGCTGAAATGTAGTTTATTATGTTAAATAATTTCATGAAACTTATTGAAATAATCTAGACAACTCTTATAGGAAGGTCAGATCCCATTTCTATAAACTCACATAAGCCCTTCTATTGCCCTGTGGATCCTGTTTCCAACGTCACTTCTATAAGTACATGGGCCTTAAATTACAATGAATGTCAGGTCATCTCCATTTACAGTGCTTCAATCTTTCTTTCATTCAGTGAATCTTCAGTAGAGAACCGCTTCATCTGTATGAGTACAGCACATCTTTCATTTCCTCTCATTCTTTGAGTGGAACTTAACAGTAGTATTTTTTTTGCTTATTTTAGGTTGCAGCTTTAAGAGAGGATGGTTGCCCCAAAGTCTGGGTAGTCACTTCTGATCATTGCCACCAGCAAGCAGCACATGGAGCTGTATGCTTCTTTCCTATAAATTGAAAACTTGAGTGAAATGGATGCAACTTGATTGTCAATTGTCTTCACAATTGTTTTCCAGCTATGAGTATTTGACTCTCCTTAGCAAAATATGCAAATTATTTAATTTCTGCATAAATAAAAGTAATTCACGGATCTTATCATGATTTCCTTTTCTTGATTCTTCAAATGTTTGTAAATACCATCAACTGAACATCAAGTAACAGTGTCTGCATTGTGCTATTATTTGTTGGGGAGAAATATTTATATTGCTGCTGACTTTCAGGGAGCCTTTATTTGGAGTTGCAAGGCGTTAGTAACTGAGGTAAAACATTAATTTGAGGCAGCATTGTTATGATATCATAAAAAAATTTCTTTTCTAAATTATCTGACACTCTATGGCACATAATAATTGCAGGTTTTCTGATGGCATATTAGATTTATTAGTTTACATAGGTTTAAATTATATAGACATGAAATCAAATCCTATCATTATTTTAACATACTAGATGAACTTTATTCCCTTTAATGATATTTGCATTGGTCCGTTTTCCTAATTTTTTGGGTAGTAGATCAAAGCATCGCAAAAGGAGGTTGAAAAGATGCTTCAAGAGCAAAGGTGTGCCCTGACTGCAATAATTTGAGAAAATATTGATTTTGTGTCTGAAGTTTGGTTTGGTTATTCTCTTATAATTTATTTCTCAGTATGCTTTATGGGTAGTGTGTTCAATAATCTAGGTTGCCATTATATGACTTACCATCTCTTCCTGGTTAACACTCCAAGCTACATCAATCATTTATAACATACCAAAATGACATATGTGAAATAAAAAAGAAAAAAGAAACATAAGATAATAATAGTGGTTACTGGAGCAAAACTCACTCAGTTAACAGACATCTTGGCTTATACTGTATATGCTTTCATTTTAATTCTTGACGGGCTTCCTGTAAAAAAATAAAATAAACCAAAATGAGAAGGAAAAGAAAATAGTATTTGAAATGTTTTTGTAAGAAGTTCATGCAATCATGAGCAAAACCAGCATCCAAAACCCTATCCATATCCCTCCAATTAGTAAAAACTTACAATAAAGAAAGAAAAATGACAAGAAACCTTTCTAATTTTGATATTTTTCTTTGTTAAAATGCAACATATTAGGGGTGTTTGTGGCATAGTTTGGTTCAAACCCTTGGTTATGAATGCATCTGAGCCAAACATTAAATTTATAGGCGATTTGGATTGAAAATAAAAAATATCCAAATCAAATCAAACCTAATGTTGCATTAGTAAGTTAAATCTCATTCTTTTGACATCATAATCTAATGTTATATAATGACAAATAGTTTCATTACTTACTAAAGATTGTTCTCTTCAACGTGGTGCATATAATTAAACAATTTGTTTTTTCCATACAAATTAGCAAATTTTTTTATCAGCAAAGAAACTATAATAAAACAAGGGGTGCTAAAAGAAAAATAAAGACCAAAATTGGCTATGTTATACTTATATATTGTGGCATAAATACTATATAACTTGCAGAATATACATCTGGTAGCCCTAACAAATCCCATACTCATATTACATTTTTCTCTTGTGCAAACAAAGTAAGTAATATAATAATATTTAAATAATTGATTTCAGTTCATTTGAATAAATTTCAAAGTGTCAAATTGCCAAATGAACCGAATCATTTGGTACTGTAAAAAATTATTCAAATTGATAGAAATTTAATCGATTGTTGGATTTTTGGATTGTTTCAGTTTGTTCTGAACACCACTACAGCGCATAATGTGTTTACAATTGAATTGAATCAATTTGATTGTGCTGCTTATGTTGGTGTTTTGAGAACTTGCCATGCCATCACAGTAACAGATCTTGCTTATTTGTTTGCTTCATGTTGTGTACAGATCCACCTCTTTTCAAGGTAGATTATTGAAGCACAATCTTGATGCAGAAGTAGTGGATGCCCTAAAGGACCTGAGGAAACAACTATCTGAAAATGAGTTGAAGTAAAATATCATGTCTGACAGGAAAATTCTCTACAAGGTTTTAATACTTTATCTAGTGCTTGATGCTTTTCATTTTTAGGCATGCAGGCGTGCATTTATTATAGTGATGCTGGAACCTTTGACGTTTCGGTTGAAATAAGTTTTTACATAATGACTAAACACAAACAGCGTCAAGTATGGAAAATGACACTGCCTACATTAAACAGAGCTGAGATATTGTATTTATTGATAACCTAACATCAATCAACAATATACCCACACAAGGACTGTTAATATTGATTTTTGCTCATGAAAGAAATGCAAAATCACTGTAATTTAGAGCTGAGGTATTACTAATTCTTTTCTCTCTGAATGATTTGAAGGAAATAATTCTACTTAGCAGATGAGCAAAACTCGTTTAGCAGCAAGTAATGCGACTAGTTTTGTTACTTTTTTATTGTTTGTTAATTAGCTTGTAAGCATTTGTATATTTTTTTCACAAGACATTTATAAAAAAGTGATTTAACATATTGATTCAAACCTCATTAACCAAGTGATTATTGAAATGAAAAGAACATATAGTTTTGGATATGGTGTACCAAGCTAGGTTTGGTGGAGTTTATATAATAAAATGTAGTTTTTTCCCCTTCTAGATTGCCTAATCCAAAAATTTCTAGATAGCTTAATCTGAAATGTTTCTAGGTTATTCAATCTAGAAAAGAAATATAGATGTTTATGTAGAGTTTCAGAGAGTTTATTCTGGAAAACATCTCATGTTTTGAGTAACTTGTTTAAGAAAACTTGTTCTAAAACATTTGTTTTGAAAAACTTATTTTGGAAAGTTTGTTTCAAAAAACATCTCATGTTCTAGAAATCTTGTTCTAGAAATTGTCTCAAAAAACTTATTCTGAAAGATTTTTGGAATAGACAATTTGTAAGTTTCCATTGAAATACAACATAAAAGGCAGAATAGTCATTTTAAAAAAAATATTGAGGTGCAGGAAGAAAACCTATTTTGCTTCCTGCATCTCATACTAACAGAAAAAAAAAATAGAATACCCTCTCTCAATACACCACACTACCTTAGAATACCCTCTCAATACACCACACTACCGTTGAAAATATGAAGAATCCTGTAGAGGAAGAATAGAGAACTTGTTGCAAAAAAAAAAAAAGCTTGTTCCAGAAAGTTCTTTTCAAAACACATTTTATATTTCTGAAAAGCTTATTCTAGAAAACACATTCTAGAAAATCCTTTCTAAAGATTGTTACATGCATTTTGAAAAGCTTGTTCCAAAATGTACATCATGTGTTCTTTTTGGAAATTCCAGTTGAAAATTTTGTTCTGAAAATCCTATTTCAGAAATTCCATTATGGAAAGTTTGTTGCAAAAAATTTCCAAAACAGGACGAAAAATAAAATGCCATTTTGAAATGGGAATGCCCTGAGAAATTATGGGATGCAGGAAGAAAAAACATCAAAGATTATATAGCCCAAAACAAAAACAAGAAGCCACATATTTAAAAGGCCTATAAAATATAAAAATAAAAAAGTCAGACAAAAAAGATAGTGCAAAAAAAAATATAGACTTGATGGTGATGGCTCTAAAAGTCAAGAAAAGGAGCTCAAACCCAGATAAAATAAATGATGAAATAGAAATAAATAGCTTCTCTGGGTATAGGACTGACTGGTCGGACTGGAAAATTTGGTTCAAATAAGACTAATAAATAAATAGATAAATACGTTTCTTTTTTCTTAAAAAAAAATCTGTAATGTTTGTAATTTTTTTTTCTTATAAACTTGTTATTATTTACTATTGATGCTTATTATTGAAATTTCAATTTGAGCACGGTAATATTCTATTTGAACATATATGCTTAGAAACTTAAAGTTTATATTTCATTTTTATTTATTTTAGCATCGTAAAATCACAATATTTTTGTATTTGATATTATTTAACTATTCTAGCAATTTTATTTTTTTGATTTCTGCTCGACCTTATCAAACTTTTGATCCATGTTTTTACCAGTTTAAAAGAAAAGGTACTCTTACATGAGTAGTTGTATGAACAATACAACTCACAAATGAAGCCAAGCTGGGGTTTTAATAACAAGTCAGAATTGACTTATGCTAATCAGATTTGAGGGCGAGTGTGGAATGCAAGTTGCACAATTATGGATTAGAAACAAGTTAGAGGTGTACAAGTAAAAATATCACGAGTGCATGGTATAAAGACATTTTTGGATAAAGAGCTCACTCGGACAATAAATGAGAGAAAGACTGGCTTATCTGAAGAAAAGAAAAACACTGAAGCCCAAACTTAATACAAGCCCAAGTTGGACATTGACAAGTCACAATTAGGCTAAAGGGTTGGACAAAAAGTCTCCCATTGGCTAGAGGGTGCTTAAAGTAAGATGATGATGATGAGTTTATGATGTGTAGACATTTTGGACGAATAGGTCACTCAATATTTGAATATACTACAATCAATGCATGTATGTGTGTCGTGGAAACGGGGGAGGTGGAGTAGGTGTTGCTAGCGTAGCATTTTCTATTTCTCTCTGTCTGAATGCACTGTTGCAATAGCTCTTGTTTGTATGGTTAATGTGATAAGGTGCCAATCAGTCTAAAAATTCATGCCCTATACTTCATAAGTGGTTTGCCTGTAAAAGGTTACTGTGAACACCGTGTGTTTCTTCAAAGTAAAACAAATTGTACCTTACCATATTACATGATCAATAACCAACTCCCATTTATGATTTACGAGACACCTGATATCTGTTAGGATCTCCATGAGCATGAAGATTTGGTCAAATTGATGGTTTCTCGGTAATCTGTTTTGCAGAACAAACTTTGGAAAGACCAGCAAGATTGATCAAATGTGAAGATCCTGCTTGAAGTCCTTACAAACTCCAACACAAGTAGCCCAGTTGGAGGCCAATCACTGACCATTTGTTAATTGTCTATTTTATAACTTTTGCTTGTACAAGCGACTGAACCAGAGCACTAAAGTATGAGACGTTATTTTTTACTGTTTGTGTTTATAAGTGTAATATGTATTAGTTTAAACAGTATTTATTGTGAATTTGTTTAATTTCAATTAACAAAGAAGTTCCACATCATTTCATTAAGTAGTGTTTTTACTTACTGTTGGTGTAATGCTACTGCTTATGTAAATCTGTACATTAATCGATTAAATTTGCTATTTACGTATAAATTTATTCGTATGTGCATATATAATATGCAATTTGTGTGAACATTTGATACCAGATGCTAATGAATGATGGTTTATTTGAGGTTAGATTCATGCTGTAACTCTCAACATCTAATTGTGTTTCCATATTTGTTTATATATGCTATTATTTAAAAATTGTTTGCAGCAGTGTTCAACTGGAAAGAGGGAAGTGTGATTGATAAATCTTACCTCATGGAAGACAGAGACAGAGGTAGTCACAGACTATAGCAGTCGTTGTACTACACCTGTAACTTCCAACGCCAAGGAATGAGTGCGACATCAATGCACTGGTCGTCTGACTCATACCCCACCACTCTGTCCGTATTATTTTTTTTGCATCACATTGCATGTTCGGTTTCGATCCAAAATTATGATTTCGGTAAAAGCTAATCCAAATTCTTTATGTGTTGAATTACCAGAATTCTCTATGCATTGAGGCTATAAGTTAATTACTATAAATGTTAAGGGTCACTGCAGCTGTCAGTATATTTTCTGTTATTGGTATCTTGCCTATTAACTGCGAAATTGATGCTCGGTTACATTTTATCTTCAGTATTTTTTTTTTGGTACATTATGATTTGTGGATACGTTAACATGTTAAGAATTCGTGTACGAGTTCAAGTTTTAGGTTGGATATAACATTTTATGGGTTAAACTAAGTTCTTGATATTATTGTTTGTCTTTGAAGTGAATCCCTCTTTAAAAATCCATAATAACATAAGGTTTAGGATTCTGTGTAGTGCATATGTGAAGAAAATAGAAAGAAGATAATTAAAGAGATAAGTTTTGAGGTAGATCTGGGAAGAAATATAATATAATGGATTATAAGTTTTGAGGAACTGTGGGTAGTTAAGGTGGTTTTGTATTGGAGTGAGGAAAAGATATTGTTGTTTTGGTTGATGTGGTGAAAAAAGGATTAAATGAGAAAGAGAGGAGTAGAAAATAACAGAAAGCATTGATTAGTGGTATCCAAGCTTGCATGTAATCACGGGATGCTTGCCTGCATATGAAGTATGGTCCTACAGAAGAAGGGCAGAGAGACACTGAGAGGAAACAATTGACTGTACCTTTTTCTTTTTGGGTTCAACCGGACCAACCAACAATAAGTTAGTTCCAAAGTCTTTTTAAATCTAAAGAAGAATAAATGCAGAGTCAGAGGGTCAAAAATGGGTCAGGATTATGGTCAGATGGTCAAATGATTGACCAGTCACTGCTTTCATTTGGATCCAATGACCCATTTAATGGAATGGATCCAACCGTTTAATTGTGGACCCACCCACCAATTCTTTTGTGTGTTTCATGCAATTCCCCTTCTTTTCATATTCTCCCTTTATTATTTTCAACTACGTTTTCTTCCATCATCCAAATACGCGTTTCAATACGAAATGCAGCTCCATTTTTTCACCTTTTTTTATCTTTTGCAATTAATACTTGACTAATTTCTCAGCCAAAAACTGAGGAAGCTGCTACAAACATGAGAAAATTGATGCATTTGTTGGTTTGTTTCTGACAGGTCTCTGAGTGTGTTATAGTATGTGCTGAATCCACCTGTGAGGTCTGTCTGACTCTGACTTGACCAATGGAACTTGTAGCCGTGGGGGCTATATGCACTTCCACACGTCACAAACTATCCTAATTCCTTTACCTTCTTCTTCTGTCACATATTTTACTGCCATTACCAACCCACACGCACCATTCTTTTACACTCATCACACTTTTTTTTTACACATTTTTTAATATTAAAATATGTTTTTTTTACAAATCTTTAGAACATGAAATTTACATTTCATTTATATATTATAATCTAACATTATCTCTTGAAGTGAGTCTTTCAACATTTAATACTAACCAAGACTATCAAATACATTTGGTTAGTTATAATACTTGAAAATCTCCCGTTCAGAGCATTGAACATCTCTGTCTAGGTTTCTGACTGAGACAAGATTAATACCTGCTAGTGTGACTAGATGAAATATTATACATGGATACTACTACTTCGCATCTGTTTAACATGTGGAACTGTTTGAAACTTTGCACTGAGTAGTATCATAAAAAAAGTTAATGGTTTAGATTGTCGTGTAGCTTGGAAACTATATTCTCCCCTGGAATAAAAGTTTGCGCAATGAATCATCCATGAAGCTTTAAAAGGGTCGTCGTACCGCAAACAATATAGACAAGTATCCTTCCATACCAACAACAACAACCCTAGGTTGCTTTTAGTTCTTTTTTTCTTTTCAACTGATATGTTTTATCTATGCTACATGATCATTTGAATTGTTGTTTTTTTTCTGTCTTTTCCATATTCCATAACTATTTGTTTTTCTAATTACAAGTGAAAAATAAAAAACTCAAACAAACTGATCGTACCTTTAACTTTCTAATTGTGTTTCTAATCAATTAATATAATAATAAATAATAGAAGAAAGTTGAATAAAAGGACAGCTAGAAAGTTTAGTTAGAATATAATAACAATGTAACAGTTTACCTGTTGTAAAATCATATATCATTATGTGTAATAAAATTGTTGATTTTTATAATAACTCTTTTAAATTTAATACATAAGATAGAATCAAAATATAAAAGAACTTTTATTAAAGTGTCAAAATAAGCTAATTAATCTATGTAAATTAAGCTTAGTTAAAAAAAAAAACAACTAAACGTAGCTCAAAACTCAATGAATTTGCATGTTACGCGATTGAGTTGGCTCGTAACTTTTTTTTTATCAACAAATACAAATATACGTAAATGAATGAAACATTTCAGGTACTTAAAATCATATACGAAGTGCTATACAAAAGAGAATTAAAATATAGAACGTTTGGTAAAATCTTTTCCTGTCGAAAACATATAACTTAAGAATAATATATGTCTAACTTTGTTAGAAAAGTTTAGCTCTCCCTTTAAAATGAAGTACCTCTGTATGTTAATACAGTTTTTTTTTTATAAATATTTTGATATAACACACATGTTATTTTTTTATTAAGTTTAGAATATATCAACACATTAATAAATAAAATAATAAATCGATTAAAAAATAACATGTATATTATGTAAAAGTATTGTTAACAAAATTGTGTTAAAATATATATCTTTTCAAATAGAACACAAAGCTTTAAAGTCTTGTTACATCAAAGCATATGACCTATGTTTGTACCATTTGTACTATGTAGAATTTTTTATGCCAAAGAAGAAAAATTATTCTAACATTCATTCGAAACCAAAAATTATCCGCGCTTTTACTTCAATATTATATTAAAGTTGGTAACTTCTCACATTGGTGGTTGCTACATCATTTGAGTTTTTTTCCTTCCACTCCTACACGAATCTTACAAAACCACACAGCAAAATATATATAAAGAAAAAAGTATAAGATTTGAGAAAGTTGAAGAGAATATGACAGAAAAAAGAGAATTGTTGTAGCCGACTTAACCTAAATCAGACCAATAGCAGATGGATTTGGATGTTGTTCTTGGAAGAGATTGGTTGGACGGTTGAACACAACACATATATATCTTACATATCAGACAAACTACTCCTTTATGGTCGGTGATTGCAAAACCCATAATTAATTCTCCTTTCTTCCTCACCTAGCCAGACACAAATGCTGTCACATTGCTCACACTACATATACGTACACAATTTGAAAAACAGATGATAATTATTTAGGCAATTAACTGTCATAAATTATGCAGAAGTGATAATAAGTTTGGAATTATTTAACAGTTTGCAAAAGTTGGTGTGGATGAGAAAAGCACAAGAGCGTCCTAAATAAAAGTTTGTCGGTATGTGACGATGGAGGTTCCAAGTGTGTCCTCACATAGATATACTACAAAAGTGATGGTGATGGGAATGAGTGTGTCTGTGTGGAGTGTGTTGGTTGATTCCATTTCATGAGTCACATGTCGACGCATGCAACGACCGCCAAAATGGTCCAAACCACGAGCTTCTTGAGCCTCTGTTTGTGTTGTGTGACCATTTAATGAGCTAGGCACCCACAATTTCCCAAATGGGTCCCTTCGATATCCATGCATGGTCCCATTATCTTCTAATCTAATACACTTGCTAAATCCAACACTGTTCCTGTTTCTCTTTTCCAAAATCCAAAAAAGGGAATATTTCTGTCATTTCTAACACTATATTGCATTTTTTTCTCATTCTCTCGCAGGATATTTTAGCAGATAACGAGGTCTCACCCCCTTACACCTTTCACACTCAAATCAAAATGCTCCCTTTTTTCATTCACTGCATGCAATTTTGCTGTTTCCTATGTAACCACCTTTTGGTTCGCTTTACCATAAACACATAACATTCTCCTTTCCATGCTTTCCAAATCACTAAATGCTGTTACGTTTTTTCATAACATTTTAGAAACAGTAAATGAAATATACTATATTTTATGTTTTTTAAGAGTCTAATTTTGTCTCGTCTAAAGAGACATTTTAAAAACTTCAGTTTTGACTCTCTTTGTGTATATGTTATATTTGCTTGTGCTGTGTTCACGAAACAAGTTTCCTTAATTGGCTGCTTAATCATTGCTCACACTCACAACGCGTATATAGGACAGCCCAAAATATCCCACTAATCCTATACTTTTCACATTTCATTTCCCATTGTGTATTGGGTGCTACCTAACACAAAACTCTTCCTATTCTAACTTCCAAAATCAATTTAATTTGAAAAAAAAAAATAAGAATTGGATATCTATTTGTCAATTGAAATCTCTTCTATTTTCAACCGAGTCCGTATGTTTCGCATGTGAGCATTACGCCTCGGTTCAGTCTGGAAACCGAATTAGTATCTTTTTTAGACACCGGTTATCTAATAACCGAGGCATATAATGCTTTTAAAATTACCAGAGTGCCACCGCGTTTTGATAGACTTCGGTTCCGTAGAAACCGAGGCATAATGTCCGAGTTTAAAACGTCATTTTTTACTAGTGTTATTACAATATATAAAAATAAATAATGATACTTTGATACTCATAAATTTTTTATATTTTTTGGATATTATTTTTGTTTATTTTTAATTTTTTTTCTTAAAAAATACAAAAATTTACTCTTTTATAA